TTCTTCTTCTTCAAAATTTCTTCTTAAATAAATATGCAATTTTTCTAATTTTGTAATTAATTTATTCTGTAAAATATAAATATAAATAGTATAAATTTAAAATAATTTTTTTTTACTTTTAAAAATAAGATATACAAAAAAAGAAATATGAAATATAGTTACTTTTTCTTCTTGATTAACAATATTTAATTGGATTAGACTAGTTAATATATCAAAGATTTCATAGAAATACTCATTATAAAAAATTAAAACCAAATTAATTTTTAGCTGATATAATAATGTATTTCTGTAAATACATTTGGTAAAAATAAACAAAAGATATGTATTATTATTATAATTTATTTTTTGTAACAAGTTTTAATAATTTGAACGATTAAAATTAATGAGTATTATTATATGTATACTTGCATACTTTTGTTTTACAGATATTTAAAACTAGCATAACAATTTTTGTATATAAAAATCTTTTTTTAAAAAAAAAATATCTTCTTTTTTAAAAATTCTCTTTTTAAAAATATTTATTACAAACCAATTTTTCTATAAAAGTTACTTCTAATAGTTTAAATACAATTTTTTTTAATAAAACCATATTTGAATTATTAGAGGTAGCTTTATTATCGCATCTGAACTTATAGAGAAGACTTTTATTATTATTTTTTATAATAAAAGTCACCTGATAATTCAGATATGAATTTATTATTATTTTTTTTACAAAAGTTACTTCTGATAATTCAAATGTTCCTTTTTCTAATAAAGTCGTACTTGAACCATTAGAAGTAGCTTTTATTATTACATTTGAACTTTTAAAAGTGCCTTTTATTAAAAGTCACATCTGATAGTTCAAATGCAACTTTTATTATTATATCTTATAATAAAAGTCGCCTAATAATTCAGATGTAATTTTATTATAGTAAAAGTTACTTCTAACAGATTGGATATAATTTTTCTAATAAAGCTATACCTAAACTGTTAGAAGCAGCTTTTATTATCACATCTGACAGTTTAATAATGACTTTTATTATTTTTTTTTAAAATAAAAGTTGTCTAATAATTCAAAGGCAAATTTATTATTATTTTTTCTAAAAGTTGCTCTGATAAAGTTATGCCTGAACTATTGAAGATGGTTTTTATTATTGTAACTGAACTGTTAGAGATGATATTATTAGAAAAATACTAATAAAAGTCATGTTTTAACTGTCAGAAGAATTTTTATTAGTATTTAATAATCCAAAATTTCAGATTAATCCAAAAATTATCAGTTCAAATCAGATTATTCAAAGGTTTCAGATCAGTTCAGTTCAGATAGACATTTTGGATTTATAATCTGAACTGAACTGAACTGAAAGTCTTGAATCATATTAGATTAGTCTTTAATTTAAACTGAATTAGAATTTTTAAAGCTTTAATTACAGGTAAATAGGATAATTACATAATCTTTTGATTGTTTAGTTTCAGATACTTGACTATTTAATATTGTGCAACTGGATTTTATCTTCTAAAATAAACACAATTTATCATAATTAAAGATATCATTAGAATCATAATTCTTAAACGCTAGAATTTCATTACACATTGTATCAAGATTATTAAGTGACACATTTGCAGCTTTACTATATATATTATATTGCTATAAGTTATACTATTTCTTAAAATTGTCTACCTATTTATTGAAACCTTTAAATTTATTCTCACTAAATAAAAAAGTAAATCCTAAAGTTTTAGTATAAAAATACTATCAGATATAACAAGCTTGAAGTACATTTTTTACCTAAAAAGTTAAAGCTTTCTTAATAAAAATAAGGTTATTTTTTTTTATGTTTCAAACTAGCTTTATATGATTCAGTATCTATAGCAAACTAGCAGTCATTTTCTTTAAAATATTACTTACTATACCTCACTAACCTCACTAACTTCATATTTATTTGCTAAGTCTTTTTGTTTTAATAATAGGAATGAAATTTTTTTAAACAAATCTCTTTTTTTTTGTAATAGTAAAAGACTTTCATTTTTTTTTAAAGATTTTTTATTAGGTTTCTTTTATTTCTTTAAGTTTACTTTCAGCATTCTTATATTAAAAAAAAGATGGAATAATTCAAAACTTTAAGATATAGTTTATTTAAATATTTAATTAAGGTTCTATTTAACTAAACTTTATATTTATAAATAGATTTTATTATAATCATAGGTATAGGTCAAATATAAATAGCTGTATATTCAATATTTAATTAAACAATTTGAGCAAAGTGTTGATGTATGCAAGTAAATATATATTTTTATTAATTTACAGTCAAACCTTGATATAGCGAACTCTTGATATAGTGAATTTTTAAATCAATATATTAAAATTACCTTACTATAGTGAACTAGCTAATTAAATTCTTTAAAAAATTCGTTATAAGCTTATAATGAAATTGATATTCAGATCCTAGAATTCGTTATATCAAGAATTCACTGTATTTTTGTTATTTTATATATATTACTGATTTTTTAATTAGGTATAAATTAAATAACAAACAAGCTATTGACTATATTTTTGAAGTTTAAAAAATATAGAACAGCAAACTATATGTAATTGCTGAGATAAAATTAAGATTATTTCTAATTCTAAGTCTGAATTAACTCAAGAAGAAGTATGAGGATTAGGTGTATTTGTTAATGAAATTCCTAATATTCTTTCAGATATTTTTATTAATAATTACCATAAAGTTTATGATAATTTAATAAATTATATTTATGATGAAGACTCTTCACTTACTGAAGAAATCTTAGATGATACACAAATTATAGAACTTATTCAAAAACAAAATAATAATGCTACAGAAAAGGAGTCTGATAATAAAGAACAATTGCCTCCAAAAGTTTTACTAAAAGAAGCTTTTAATGTAATTTAAAAAGTAATTATATTTTATAAACAGCAATAATCTATTAATGATAGATGCAAAATAGAAGATCTTAAAGTTTTTAGACATTATGTTTTAAATCTGAAAATGCTTATATTGCATCTTTGCAACAACAGTTAATTAAAGAATATTTTTCTATTAATTTAAATACTTTTAAAATTATATAATTAACCTTTAATTTTTTTAATATAATGTTTAATTAGATTTTAGTTTTTGATCTTGATACAATAAATTACAGAAGTTATAATTGCAATATAACAATATAAATAAATAAAATGTATATCTTTTAATAGTTACATTTATATATTTATTGTTAAAATATGACTAAAATTTTTTTTTGCATATAGTCACATCTCTTTATAGTTACTTTATATAGTGTATTTCAAATGTGTAATTATAGAAAGAGTTAACAGTATATGTATTTATAGTTTTTAGATAAGTATCATAATATTTTATAATATATTAAATGTAACATTTATCTGTTTATATTATAAACTAATTTGCCTTTTATTATCTAAATTTGATAATTTGAATTTTTTTCTAGATCCAGTTTTTTATAAGGTAATCTAATGTATTTTGTATAATAAATATTAATTAAATAATAATAATTTTTTTTCTAAAAAAATTAGATAATATAGACTATTATACAACTTTTCAAAATATTTATAGAACTAAAATTACTAAAAAGTATAAACTATTATATATAAAATATAAGAGCTTATTCTAAAAGTCTATTTTGGTTATTTTCAAAATATAGTTATATTAATTATGAAGATTGTGAAAAAATATCACTATGTATATAGTAAAAAATCCTTGATTCTTAAAAAATAAAAAGATTATTAAAAAACATTGGAATTATATTTATATTCTTATAATGTATTAATTTTCCTGATGGTCACTATTTAAAAGAAGTAATATTTATATATATCTGAATCAGTTGTAATTTACCAGTTGAAAGATTAAATTATTTAAGTTACAAATCAGACAACTATTCAATATATTATTATTATGAAGAAAGTATAAATTTGTTAACTTGTTTAATCTTTAAAAAAAATGCATTAAGCAAATTTATCATTTATGTAAAGAATATCAGAAAAATAAAAGCATTCTATACTAAAACAGATATTAAAATTAATAAATACTTTTAAACATTATAAATATAAATGATTTTTTTAATATTAAATGATCAACAGAAATTTATTGCAATAATAGATTTGACATTTTAGACACATTTTTTAATTTCAAAATATTTTGTATATGAAATTGTGTTCAAAACCTATTCAAAATCTGTTTAAAACTTTCTAAAATTATCCAATTGCCTAACACTTGTTTTATTGAAATATAATAAAAAATATACAGATTTTTACTAAATAAATATAATAAACCAAAATAATTAAATATAATATAAAAAAAAAATTGATTTGGTTTGACCTAAAGTTTAAAAAGTTGGAATTCCTAAAAACATTTTCTTTTTGTTTCAAGGTTATGATTATTAATTCTTAGTGTAGGAATTGGAACCTACAAATGTTTCTTTCAATTGATCAATAAATACATATACATATCATATAAACAAAAAAAACAAATTAATGAAGTGAAAATGGGTTATTTATGATCCGATACGCTTTATCTCTTGAATTTATTATTTTCCTTTAATACAAGAAGGGCTTACGAAACTTACCAAACTTACACTAGAAACTATACAGTTGCCTTTTTATTTAACAAAATAAAAGTTTGGGAATTCAAAGAAGGAAGTTAACCGAGAAAGGCGTAACATACTCAGTCTAGAATCATTAAAATGAAAGCAGACACAAAATAATTGGAGCAGACGTGCAATTTTTCAAAAAATTTACTAGACACAAAAACAGATGACCTCTCTTTTTAATTGAAAATCATGAAATTCCGCGGAAATTTGTACAGGTTCACCGGTTCTTTTTTAGTACCAAAATTAAAATATAGATCTTTTTTTTTAACCTTTATAAAAAAAAAAAAACACTCGCGGATTTCCATTCTTAATTCACCAGGTTTTTTTTTTTTTTTTTAGGGAAAAAAAAAATTATATATATACTTTTTCGTAATCGTTTAAATTCCTAAAAAAAAATAATGGACCGTCCAAATCTCAATTACAATCAAGCGCAACACCAAGATCGTCGTGACCTTCAAATGCAATACAGAAATCTTCCTGAACAAACAGCTTTTCCTGGGAGACCGGTCATCCCTGGACAACCCGGTCAACAAGTAAATTTCCCAGTACAAATGTACCAGCAACAACAAACAGTATATAACACTCAACACGCACAGCCATTATCTCAACAGATCTCTCAACAAATGTATTTTTCACAACCACAACAACCACCACCACAGCCACCACCACAACAAACAGCTGCCGTTTACTCAACACAACCTATTTTTACATCTCAACAACAACCTACATATAATATACAGTCTACAATTCCTCAAATTAGGCCTGAGGAAAGACCAAACAATTATGTTAATTTGCGTCCAACAATAAACAATAACATTAACAACAATAATAATGTC